GTCTGCATTTGTTCGCACTTGCCTTGCCGGAGATAACTTTCCGAAAAACATGCACATTAATTTGATTGTGTGTGCGAACTTTGTCACGAGCCGCCGGTAAACAATTGAAACAGATAGTGTCCCCACCCTGCTCCCATGTTTTCAGAAAGCATAACAATGCCCTATGTGCATTCTCACCCAAAGATTGTACGGGAAAAGGCAGTACGACGAGTACATCTGTTATGGCATCCGGAGCCTCGTTTCGTATCGTCTAGCTGCGGTTTCGGTCGACAATTGCTGAGCAAAACCGAAACCATTCTTCGAGATGCAAATTGGTTGTTTTTATCTCTGACGTTGAATGAATTTGTGTATACAATTGGCCTCAACCAACACCCATCTGCAGCAGTACGGTCTGAACTCACCTTCCATTCCGTTCCGGAGAAGAAATGTCTGTATTTTGCTGTCTAGTTCTTTTTTGTCGTTATAGCCAGAATAAACTAGTTTTAACGAGATCCTTTCAACGGATGAGTTAGTCTGTCAGAGGGCAGGAGGTTATGACGATCTGTGATGTGAGTGTATTTCTTTACATTACTGAACTGAGCTCCACCGTTTCATCACGTCGACGAATGAGACATTTACCCTGAAGTGACACTTTGACGTGTCCTTCCCGCTTCACGTGTGATGAGGTCATGACTATTTGCAGTAACAATTCACTCTCCCAGTCCAGATGATGTCATTGTTGTGGAAATGAAATGGAGCCTAGATGGTAGACGTCATGGATTGACCTTTAGTGAAATGGGAAATAATGGCAGGACAGGCATCTTCAACAAATTGATCTTGACAACGCCCCTTGGTAATGACATCATGTTGAAACGTCAGCATCTCAACTGTCTGGAGGAATCCCGCATTCTAATAAATCTTCATATTTTCTGGATGTTTTCTACGTTTTCTTGCAGTTAGTATGGAGATATTTAATTTCACCTATTGATTATTAAGTGCTTCCTAAGCGTATTCTCATCAGAATTGAGAACACCCAAAAATGCATACTTTTCAACCGCGCCGAAGAAATTTTTTAAAAAATCTATTAAATTTATCCTCCTACGGGGCATCAATCTTAAAGAACACAATCCAGATTGTTCCGTACCAACAAGGCAAAGAAAGAACATCCATCTCGTGATAACATCCACAGGCCCTCATCTGCAATCCAAATAATTCCAACCACAATCAGGGCGAAGGGGTAGAGCATATCCTGTGCCACGGTTTCACACGTGCATAAGGGAACGATAAAAAGTCGAGGGGGCGTTCATCTAAAATAAATAACTTCCCCTCTCCCCTGGGGTTCCCCCTCACAGCCAACCTTGTAAATTTGCAATTGCGATCGTGCGATTGCTCGTTCATCCAGTGGCTTTACCCTTCCACCCACAGCGCTGACCAGCAACGGAAAACGGCGAACACGAGAGTTTGCGGAGCATTTTGCTTTCAGACAGCCAACATTTTTCAATTGCAAATTTTATTGCTCCCTGTCAGGAACGTATCCCGCACCGGACTGAACATGGGCTGCAATCCCTCCGGTGGGCCTTAAAGTGGGCCAGACGAGTAAATGTTCATCTTGTTTCAAGGGGCTTTCCGAAAGTCATAAAATCAATTCTAGTCTGGGAAGTGATACCCATTTACAGAAACGTCCCAATTCATCAATTAAATTGAAACAGAACCGGGTCCAATGTTGTTAGAACTTCAACAAAACCAAGTCAATAAAGACGGTATCCAATTTGGCCAGACCGAATCAGAACCAAATGTGAAAAGTTTCCCTTGTTTGCTGTTGATCCTGATGGGAAAAGGTTTGTCGCACTGTGGTCCTCCGGAGACGACGACGACGACCCAACTTCCGTATTATTAGTTCAGATTAGACTAAAACCGTAAAACAGAAACGATAACAATTTTACAAATTGTCGGGCATAAATCCAAATCCTTCGCTCTTGGCTCGCAGCACCTTCGCTTCGTGTGATGATGATTATGGTACGTGCGATGCCAGTCGGTTTGGAAGTAGATTTTCAAAAACAGACATCTGAATTGGAAGCAGTATACACTTGGGATGGTTACAAGGGCAGAGAACGTGAGGATCTATCGATATTTTTGTTTTTGAGGTACATGTCCATTGCTTTGAATTCCCAATCGTGATTGACTCTTGGTAGCTCATGGCGAAAAGCTTTCAATCATGCACAAATCCTCTGTCTTTTGTATAATTGCGATCATGTTGGGTCAGAGAATTCAATAGAAACAAAAACCAATCTTATCCCATCCGCTGCAATATTCGATAGAAGTTATAACTTTTATATTATTATATACCGGAGGGGGGAGGGGGGGTGAATGGAAACTGACAACGCTCAGCTCATATAAAAAACCGCCACGATTCTGTTTTCAATTTCTCCGCAGAGGCAACTAATATAAAAGCTTTCAAACACATGAGACCGAACAAAGCTGCATATACCTACCAGCAGCCCAGTATCGGAAAGTCGCTACCTGTGTTCCACTATACCTACACAAACAATCCCGTATTCCCCGGTCTGGCAACGCTTCACCGATTTTTCCTTGCGGAATGAAATGGGGAAAAAGCTTTTTAATTTTCTTAATTTAAAATTTTCCTTTGCTTCAAGATGAATGGAGTTTCTTGCCCGAGTGCAGCTTTTGCGATCGAACACAAAAGATATTTCTTTTGTTTGACAGCTTTTGGCACTCGCGAGACGAAGCAGACATGGCACAGGTCACAGGAACGTGTGCTCCACTCCAAACATACCACTCACGCAGTGGGAAGCACTGTTCCGCTCCTCTTTATTTTTGCGATAAAACCGGTGAACTATAGCTACTGCTTGCAGCAGACAAAGCTTCAATTTAGCTGTCAAACTGCATGCACCCAGGTAGAGTAGTTATGAAAAATGGAAGACGCTTTGTTTCTGTTTTTGACTGGAAGCAGTTCTACATTGTTTAAATTTGACTAAGTTCACAAACGGATTTTTGCTGATTCTAAAAGTTACCTATAACAAATGTTGGAGAGTTCAATGTGCTCTTAATACTGCTCGAATCACTGGGTCACATTTCCATGTTAAAATTTCCAACATTAAAATAAAGTTTTCAAAATAATGGAAAAGGATAATACAGACACCCAAAATAATGGAATAGTGTAAGAATTGATCGCTGCCAAAGCACATTTCTTGCGTGAATTTCTGACAACAACAACATTAGTTTGCTATAAACTGTTTACACGCGCACACACATCACCATCATTTAAATGGTTTATCATAGGTTTACATCCTATTCACACTGTTCATATAACGAGCACGGCATAATGTGCGTGACACTTGTTCGTCACATAATTTGACGTAGAACTACGTCTGTGATTTCTATATGGGGGTACACTTTGTGAAAACCGAAAATAGAACATGTAACAAAATTATGAAAGATTTTGAGAGTTAATAACTCAGCTGCCCCTGGACCAATTTCATTCATTTTATCACCAATGGATCAGAAATATTTCTACGCATCTCTGAAATTAAAAGCTTAATCTTTTTCAAAATGTCACTATTGAAAATAGCACGAATGTGCAATTGTTGCTGTGATAGTAAAAAATATCACCGATTGCCTGCAATTTCCCTAACACAGATTAAAAAGTTGAATTTCATCCGGTCTCACCAAACGGTGTTTATTCAATTAGCGCGTAGTGAGTGGTGGTGTTCTCCAGTACACAACGAAAGCTCACATGTGCATCCATAGGAAGAAGCTGCACCGCTATTGGTCGGAAGCAGTAGCTCTTCGTGAGTCGCTTTGGGCCATCTATGCCTAACGCGTCACCCTCATTCCAAACAACATACAGCTCACCAGCCTCATATGTGTTTAACATTCTAATACCTCAGTATTACTCAACCATCACGACAGAACGGTCCTTTTCAGGACCACCAAAAATTTGTACAAGAGATTTTTTTTTTGACATTTGTCAAGGTCATCAATCGGATGCCAGTTCATATATCAAGATAGATCTGGAATTACGGTGTAACAGCTTTTGTAAACAATGACTTTTTTCGATGATGTCTTGAAAGTCAAAGTTCGCTCACGCAAATCAACATCACCATCACGTAGGGTAAGACTTCCCCTACCCGACGGTTATTTTGGTGTGCGTGGGCGTGCCTTGAATTCCTAAAAATCATCGAGAGAATTAATTGTTTACAAAAGCTGTTACGCCTAATTCCAGCTCTAGCTAGATATTGAGGTGAACCAGCCTCAGGCTGAAAGCCTCCTTAATAAAGATAAATCAATCAATCTAACTAGATATGTTTAAATCTAACATACTATGTTGAAGGCAACATTGGGGGTGATATTTCAAAAACAGAAGTCGGTCGCGGCATGAAAGAGGTCTTATTTGGATCCAGAGATGATGGATTTTAATTCTTAATACGCCAATCGATAGGAATGTTTGTTGAAATTAAGACTTTTTAATTTTTTAAAATGTCACTATTGAAAATTGCACGAATGTGTAACTGTTGCTATGTAAACTAAAATTATCACCGATTGCCTGCAAACAGCGATTTCCCTAACACAGATTTCAAGGTTAAATGTCATCCAGTCTAACCAAACGGTGTTTATTCAATCACCGCGTGGTGAGTGGTGTTCTCCAGTACACAACGAAAGGCTGCCTGATAGGAGCGAGCTACAGCCCTCATGACCACCCATAGAAGGTGGAAGAAGCCGCACAGCTATTGATCGGAATCAGTAGCTCTTCGTGAGTCGCTGTGGGCGTCGACACAACACAGGTGGCAACACAGCTGGCAACACAGCTGGCAACACAGCTGGCAACACAGCTGGCAACACAGCTGGCAACACAGCTGGCAATGACGTAAGCAGATCGGGGCCCTTCAAGAGAAAGTCGTTAAGGCACACTCCTTTCACCTTCGCGGCTGCGTCCCAGATGATGCGTACATTCTCGGGCTTACGTGGATTTGTAACCACTCCGATTGGGAGGTACCATGTACGATGCGGATCGCTTTCTTCCAGCTCCTGAGACGTTGCTTTGTTAGCATATCCTTTGGTCTGAAATTCGGCTATCTGCTTCTCCAAACTCGCCTGTAATTCCGGATGTTTCCGTACCTTTCGCTCGAGGCAGATCATGCGTCGTTCAGCCATGTCATAGCTAGACGGTAGCTCCACCATGTCATACCGCCATAACAATCCAGTTTCATAGTGTTCATCCGTTCGCTTGTTGTTTGTCGCAGAATCTCCTTCGCTCGCCGATCTTCTTCTGCTTCCGGCCCACGTTGTACAGAAACTCCAAGATTCTCCATCGCAAAGTAGCTTTTAACTAGGTCGTGGATGTTATTTTCTTCCGTGCTCTTGCAAATATGGAACACTGGAACCAACGAATCCGCTTTTGAGTTGCCGATTTTTCCGAAGACAGTCCATCCCAATCTCGTTTTCGCTGCAACCGGCCCATTTACCTGTCCTTCGCGTATTTTGAGTGGCAACGACAGGTTTATATTGTTTATATTGGAACGGCTTGGTCATAGCTTTTAATCGGTAGTCCGGCCAAGTTAGGATAATACTGAGACAATTTGTCGTACTGTAATGTCTGTTCAGGAAGGTCTACTTGACTCACAGTGCTTACACCTCTCAGTGGGAAACTTTTGCCACTTTCTCCCCCGGAAACCATCAGATTGACTAACCTAGAAACAGATTCATGTCGAGAAACCTTCCCTGTCCAAGTCAAACATAGGGGCTGCAATTCTCCTCCGAGATTCAATATATCTGCCACTTCCTTGTCTATCAATGTTGAAGACGAACCTTCGTCCAGGAAGGCGAAGGTGGATATTTTTACCTCTTTGCCGTGTAATACCACCGGGATTATAGGGAATATTGTAGTGCCTTCGATTTGACAATGGATGTTGACGACGGCGTCTGATCTTGACCGTGCTCCAGCACCTTCTGGGTTTGCAGTCGGTTGACTTGGATGTAGAGAGGGATGGTGTTTTTTGGCACAACCTCCAATTCCAAAGGTGCGCGTTGACTTGCAGGTCCACTTTCCATGGGGTACGAGGCAGATCATGCAAAGCTGGTGCAACTCTACGGCTTTCAGACGGTCTCCAAGACTGAGCGACTTGAACTTGTTACAGTCCTTGATGCGGTGCTTCACACTCTGACAAATGTAGCAAGGCTTCTCCGGATTATCCACCTTCTTTCTTGGCTGCTCGACCTTTCTTGGTTCAGAGGATACATGCGCGTTGACGAAGACCTTCTCCTTGTTCCACTTATCAATCCCACTTACTCGAGGTCCGTCGAAATCGCTAAAATGTGCTACGTCACTCGCGGCTGATGTGATTGCAGACATATAATCGCAGAATGCTCCCAAGTCTACATACCCAACATTTTTCTTATAGAGAGCCCAGTCCAAACGAAGGTGGGGTGGCAACTTATCGACTAGCTCTTGCAGCAAAGTTGGATTTGTCAAATGGGCTTGCTGGTTGGCGGCCTTGAGATGACCCACGAGATTTTGAACGACGAGACCAAAGTTTACCAAAGTTTCGAGCCTTTCTGATTTCAGAGTAGGTACACTTCGTACCTTGCTGAGTAGCGATTGGACTTATCGCTCTGGGCTCCCGAACAATGTTTCCAGAGTTTCCATTATTTTCGGGACCGACGATGGTAGCAGCAGATTACTCCGAACAGCCTCCAATGCTTTGCCTTTGAGGCATTTCTGTAGTCTGCCTGAGAATAACCACACATAGCAGTGGAGTTACGATAGCTGCTCACAAAAAGTGGCCATTCGTCAGGACTTCCAGTGAAGACTGGGAGTTCCTTAGGTACGACTTGTCTGGCGGACAACTGTTGCTGGAATTGTCCCCATGCTGCCTGTTGATTCTGCAGTTGCTGCATCTGATTAGCATAGTATTCAGTACTATGTATAGTATTGCTGTGGCGCTGTGTGCTGCGAAATACTAGAGTGTGGTAGTGACGGAGTATACGATGATGTCGTGTGCAACACAGATGGAAATTGAGATTGTTCACCGAACTGATCACACATTGCCAATGCCGATGGGTGCGCTAGTGTGTGAGGTTGTCGATACGATGCTTTCGATGTCTGTGCTGGGTGTTCACTCGATCGTTGCTCCGTTGAACGATGGATGGTTGGCTCTTGTGATAAGTGTGATAACGGAGGTAAGCGAGACGGCAGTGACACTAGAGTGCGGAGAGCTGGTGGTCTTTGTTGGAATGAACTCGCTTGCTACTCGAGATTCGACACCGTGAATTGTACACTCGATCGCAGTAACGATGGTTCGCTTACTGGTGGGAGCGAGACAGGTGCCTGATCAGCTGCTGGCTTCGATAGCGGTTCTCGAAATAAGAACGTCGGTAGGGTTGTTCACGGGAATAGTTTTGGTAGTACAGCTTTAGATTGCGGAGGTTGAGTAAACACCGACTGCGTGCATACTGGTTGTGTAAGCACCGGCTGTATGACCAACGATTGTGTTTGTAAATTTGTACGTGTGGCTGTTGTACTAGCAACCGATCGTATCGGAGTCGATGCTGTGATCGGGTCTTTCATACCGGGTAGCGAACCCATACCCTCAGTACCAACATTATCGGCAATCCATTCCGTCGTTGGCTGACGTGATGGATTCCTGCATCTGTCATTCATCTGACTCTGTGGATTTTTCGAGACTGCACCTGTATACCTCGTCAGCATTCCTCCGCAAGGCTCGTTTGATCCAGTACCGATTGGAATCGGTGGAAACATATCGTTGACATTCACCTGAATGGGATTCCCTCCCGCTGCTTCATCCAGATCCTGTATCCATTCCTGGACCTGGCTGTATCTACTCCTTCGGCTACGACGACTTCTGCGACTACTCGCCTCCTCTTATTCGGCTTCAACAATGAGCAAGGCGTACTTTTCTTCGAGGTATTTTTTATCAAGTGCAGCCTTCGCTTCCATCCGAACACGATCCTGTTCCTGCTGCTCTTTTATCAGCTTTTCTTGAGATTGCTTCTCTTTCTCCAGTCGCATTAGCTGTAATCGAATCCGTGTCGACTGCGACATGTTGCTGGATCTCCCGGATGTCGAAGCACCACTGATTGTCCAGGTCGAGATACACTCCTTGCACGTCCACTTACCGGTGAAACTCTCAGCCACCTCCACACACGTACGATGGTACCAACGACGACATTGGTCGCAAGCTACCATTGCTACATGGTTGAGGTTTTTGCACAACTCGCAAATGCACTGAGGTGTCTCAGCATTGGCCTTCCCCGCCGCTCGCATTGTAGTGGGTATCGTGGATTAGTTCTCTGTACAAGGGTTGTCTACCTTGGGCCACTAGGGTATCCAACAGTCGTGCCCAGCCTTAGGGATGGTCCATTAATTATGTCACGCAAATTTGGCCCATTTTCAAGCCCCCCCCCCTCTTTTCTCGAGAACTTTACTAAAATTCACAAAAGCTCCCCGAAGTTTTCTAAACCTTCATAGTTGGAAGGAAATACTATGCTAATATCAACACGCAGCTTTAGTGTGCTAATTTATAAACAAGGGAAAGTTCTGAAGCTTCTGCACTCATTTTCCATCAGATGTCACTGCTGTTGGTTGCGGTGACATCGATCGGAAGTAATACATAATATGTTTTCCGTTAGTTGTTCACAGAGGACAGTGCAGTCAAGTAACCTAGCAATTCCTTTCACAAACTATATAATGTAGTACCTGACACTGCGAAACATGTCTGGTATCGGGATTTTCTGATTCATAAAATCTTTGATCACGCCTTCCTTCGGGATGGAAGTAAAGCCGGTGGTCACCGATCCATGAAATGATGGGTCGATAGATATGGTCCAGGTGTGAAATGGTTGATTAAAGGTACTATGTGTCTTCTGAGAAGTTTCTGGAGTTACAACACTCCTTCTTATGGCAAAAGAAAATTAAAGATTAATCCACCTTAAAGTGAGCTGCAAAATTTATTTTTTTTAATATGATGAGATACAAAATAATTATGTTCACCAAAGCTGTAGAAAATATTACTGTAAACAACTTTGTTGAAGACTATAACTTTCTAGATCTTATAACTGCTGAGATATAAAGGTTTTTTTTTGTGGAGACATCGTTCAAATCAGTTTTGTATCTGTAACTTTTTCTACAATATTTCTACATGTTTGGCATGTTCTACAAAGATAGTCTGGTTTTGATCCCGAGTCATTTTGTTAGTCCTTAGAAATAACCAGGTTGCTTGGTTATTCATTTGTAGGCCTCTTTTCACACCTACACGATAACAGTCTCGTGGTTTCACAAAATCGCCATTTCAAATTCTGAAAAGTGACAAGTTTCAATGCAAGTATTTCGGTCAAGGGTCACGTGGGGGCAATCTGGTTTCTTCACCATTTTATTGCATTTTCTTGTAATTTTAATTGCTCAAAGAATGGTCTGTTTGTTTTTGCCCGTTTAGAAGTTATTGGTATTGGAAGTTGGGTAATTTTCAACCAAAAAATGTAAACAACTTTTTAAATATAAATGATAGCAATTTGTAATCTTCTGAGAAGACATGTAGTTTAAAATTTCTAACATCTTTGTACAACATGCCAAACATATAGAAATATTGTAGAAAAAGTTAAAAATACAAAACTGATTTTAACGATGTCTCCACAAAAAACCTTCATATCTCAGCAGTTGTTTTAAGAGCTACACAGTATATTTTTCAACAAAGTTGTTCACATTAACATTCTCTACAGCTTTATTGGACAAAACTATTTTGTATCTCATCATATTAAAAAAAATAAATTTTACATCTCACTTCAAGGTGGATGAATCTTTAATTTTCTTTTACCATAAGAAGGAGTGTTGTAACTGGAGAAACTTCTCACAAGACACCTAGTACCTTTAATCAACCATTTCGGCGTAAATAAAAAAGCGCTTGTTTTGATACCATTGGCACCACTGTGCGTCGGTAGCATTGGTACTCAGTACGGGAAACAAGATCGACGAAGGAAGGCATGATCAGAGATGTTATGCCTCAGAACATCCCGGTGGCGCCGACTGGGATTGAACCCAGGCCTGCTGGGGTGAGAGGTAATCACACTTACCAGTACACCATCGGTGCCGTTAGCTTCAGGCTCTTGAAGTTCAAAAAAAGTTCCACAAAGCATCTCTAAGCACTTCTTAGGAACTTCAGGCAAAG